CAACGCCTTAGACGAACTGGCTGCATCTGCCGACCGCATTCTAGAAATTACGAAACCTACTACCGAGGTATTTTCAGTCAAAGAAAAGCCTCACACGACTCAGAATGATATAACCGAGTTATGTCACACACTCACGCGTTATCTTAGTCTTCGTACCGACCGTAAGAGATCGCGCACCCCACGTAGAAGCATTTCACGTAAGCGATCTGTCTCTAGACCCCGACTGGTGCTGGTATCATAACCAGTATGGAAAGTCTTCCAGGAATTGCAGAAAACCCTGCAATTTTCCCAACACGAAACCGACTAATTCGAAAAACAATTCGGGAAACTTCAAAGCCGGCACGCGCTAACGGCACCCGTAGCCGGCGAACGTAGCCGTTTGTTATACGTCACAGATGTGACAACGAGAGTTCGCTACCTCGTCGACACTGGCGCAGAAGTTAGCGTTCTCCCAGCGAATTCCAACGACCGGCTTCACGAATCGACCCTAAACTTACAGGCGGCAAACGGAAAACCGATCGCTACGTATGGCAAAAGATACGTTTACCTTAACGTGGGTTTACGCAAACCCATTCACTGGATCTTCGTTGTTGCTGATGTTTCTATACCAATGATTGTTATGGATCTTCTACAATACCATAATCTGATCATCGACACTCGCAAACGGAGGCTAGTAGACGGAAACACTAATTTGTCCGTTTGCGTAATTTCCTTTTTTGGTTGCAAATTATCCCCAGTCACAATTAAGCATATGATAGACCCACTCTATCAACCACTACTCGATAAGTACCCTGGGATACAACAAACTCAACCGAAACTACCGTGTGTAACTAGCAATGTTACACATCACATCACGACTACAGGACCACCTGTATTCTCTAAAGTGCGACGACTAGCTCCCGAAAAGCTGAGGTTGACGAAAAACGAGTTTGACCATATGATAGATTTAGGAATCATACGACCGTCAAATAGCCCTTATGCATCTCCGTTGCACATGGTCCCTAAAAAGGACAGCAACGATTGGCGTCCAACTGGTGACTATCGGCGATTGAATGCGAAAACCATTCCCGATCGTTACCCGTTGCGTCACATTCACGATTTGACAGCTACCTTGAAAGGTACAACTGTCTTTTCGAAAATCGACTTGGTTAAAGCGTATAACCAAATCCCTATGGCTGCTGACGACATACCGAAAACAGCTATCATAACTCCCTTCGGACTCTATGAATTTTCGCGAATGCCTTTCGGTCTAAGGAACGCTGCTCAAACATTCCAAAGATTCAAAGACGACGTTTTTCGAGGTCTCAACTTCGTACACGCGTATGTTGACGACTGTCTAATCGCAAGTCCGGACAGAGAAAGACATCTCAAGCATCTGGATCTTGTTTTCGAACGACTACAAAAACATGGCATTACTGTAAACATTTTTAGAAATGCCAGATCGTAACTAACTCATTAGACTTTCTGGGACACACTATAAATGTTCAAGGTATCCGACCCCTTAGAACCAAAGTGGCGGCCATTCTGGATTACCCAGAACCGACCACCGTCAAGCAATTACGCACGTTTAACGGCCTCGTAAGTTTCTAAAGACGTTTCATACGGAAATGCGCTTTACTCATGAAACCGCTAACCGACCAACTTCGTGGAAATGCGAAATCCATTAATTTGGACGACACCACATGAAAAGCATTCTCCACAGTTAAGGAACTGATTGCTAAAGCAACAATGTTAGCACATCAGGACACCGAAGCACCCATTAGTATCGCAGTAGACGCATCCGACTCGGCAATCGGAGGAGTCTTACAACAATGGGTTAACAACTTCCTGGCAACCCTTGGCATTTTTCTCTAGACGGTTGCTAGACACCGAATCGAGGTACAGCACATTCGGTAGGGAACTCCTAGCTATGTATTGTGCTGTACGGCATTTTCAACACTATGTCGAAGGTCGTGAATTCACTCTTTTCACGGACTATAAACCGCTCACTTTCTCGTTAAGCTCTCCTTCTGACAAGTACTCTCCCCGTGAGTCTCGACAACTGGACTACATTTCGCAGTTTACTTCAGACATTCAACACATCTCTGGAGCAAACAATATAGTTGCAGACGCCTTATCTCGCATAACTTCCTTGAACAGTTTCCAAGGAATCGACCTTCTTAAACTCGCCGAGCTTCGAAAAGAAGACACTGATCTTCAGCACGAGTTATCGTCTACAACCCTTAAACTACGCATCAAACAGATGGGAACAGGTAAGGAAACCTTACTTTGTGACACATCTACAGGTAGGGATCGCCCGATCGTGATGAAACATTATCGACGCAATGACTTCAACACATTGCACAAGCTTTCTGATCCAGGTGTTCGTGCAACCATCAAGCTTCTAGCAGAACGGTTTTGCTGGCCTGGCATGAATAATGACGTGAGGGAGTGAGGACGCTCCTGTGTAAGCTGCCAACAATCTAAGGTCATCAGACACAATAAATGTCCCTTAGGCTCATTTAAAACTCCCAATGCTCGTTTCGACCATGTTCATCTGGATTTGGTAGGACCTTTACCAGATTCAAATGGATACTCTTATCTCTTAACCTGCGTAGACCGTTTCACTCGATGGCCAGAAGCAGTACCTATCAAGGACATCACTGCTGAAACAGTGGCTCGCGCCTTCGTCGAACGATGGGTAGCAAACTTCGGCTGCCCTTCAACCATCACTACAGAACGTTTTCACCGACAACTGAAAGCTTCACTATCAGCTGCAAACGTTTCACAGTGCACTGACGCTCTTCCGCTCGTCTTACTAGGTATCCGCAATGCAGTGAAAGCTGACATTGGATACACTGCAGCTCAACTCGTTTATGGAACAACACTTCGACTTCCAGGAGAATTTGTGGATCCTTCATCCTCTTCAATGAACATGGATCTAACCTCCTACACGAACAGGCTTACAAACGCAATGCGTTCAGTTAAACCTGCTTCCACTCGACCTCAATCAACTGATGTTTTCGTTCAACCTGACTTACGATATAGTACACAGATTTTCGTTCGTCGAGACTCGCATCGACGACCATTCGAATCAGCGTACGAAGGACCTTTCAAAGTTCTTCAACGTGAATCTAAGTACTATATAGTCGATAAGAACGGAACAAACGATAGTATCAGCATCGATCTCTTAAAAGCAGCGTACTTGGAAGGAAATCCTATTCACATCGACTTTCCTTCGGTACAATCGCACAACGGGACTCCTACACTCATAATTCCTCAACCGACAACCAATACTAGCGATGATACTTCGACAGTATCTGAAAATAAACCTAAAACGACGCGTTCTGAAAGAAGAGTAAGATTTCCAGAACATTTAAACGACTACTGCACGTAAGGGAATACTCGACATTTTATATTATCTCGATCTTTCTTTTTACGATATATAATTTTTTTTAAAAAAGACAATTTTAATATGCTTATATATTTATATTTTTATTTTTAAAAAAAACATAAAAGACATTTTTTAACGCTATTACGTGTGCTTGAGTATATTTTCCATTTTTTCGCCGACATTGAGTTTTTACGCACTTACGAGTGTATTTCGACATGCACTTACACTTTCTTTTTTCTTTTCCAGGACGACTGGAAAAGAACGATGCAGTTTACGAGGAATCGAAATTTTTCGTTGTAACTTTTTCTTTTTTTACTATGTTGTACCTCGGTCCTATATAGTAAGGAAAGACGACCAGACGCTGCTACACTTAGTAAGCTATCAGAAGAGTGTTTACCAACGAGGAACTCGTTGGGTTTAAACTTCTGGCTGGCCACGTCTTAGGGTCGTCACTGCCGTACTAGGGGGGTGGGGTGATCAGTAGCGGTAAATAAATCCCCGAAATAAATAGCTCTAAGTTTTCGACATTGGATGCTGACCATATGTTTTAGTGGACTCATCTAGCTGAAGGCGCTCGGTCATGCATCCGCACCAGATCACGTGTGGTAACGCTGTGCTCAACATCAACCGCAATCGCTAGCCAGATTTGATCAGAGAATTCCGATATATTGGTTATCGCCAAATATACTCTTCCGATCTCCTCGACTCTGTCTTTTGATTTCTCTGGGTGGGAACGAAATATATTAGAAGGTGTTACTGGTAAAAGCGTTGTCAAACACTGAATACCTGTGGCATCATCACTATTGATGGTAAACCTCTTCCATGCTTTCAAGAACATAAAGACTTAGGAGTAATAATAAGTCATGACTTAAAAACAACTACGCATTGCAACACAGTCGCTGTCAAATTTTTTCGTGCGTTACGGTCACTTCTCCGAGCGTTCAAATCTTTTGACGAGGATATACTTCGAATTTTATATCCCACACATGTAAGACCACGTTTTGAGTACTGTATCCAAGCAGCTAACCCATGTCTGGCAAAGGATACTAACTCGCTTGAGCGTGTCCAGCGTGTGGGAACGAAATTAGTCAAAGGTCTTCCTAAACTCCCTTACGATGAGGATTTAAAACGCCTAAACATTTCCCCTTGTCGTATCGTAAGACGCGATGTGACCTTATACTGGCATTTCGTACCTTTAATTATGATTTGGGTGTTAATATGTTTGTCTTTTTGCTCCCAATAGCACTAATAATCTCCGAGAATGTTCACAAACTACGACCTAGAAAACTTAAAGTGGGGTCCCATTTTTCTCATTGAGCAGTCAATGACTAAAACGCCTTACCCGAACAAGTGGTATCAGCCTCATCAGTCAATATCTTCAAGGAAAAGCTGGACCTTCACTGGAGGGCAAACTGTCAAGATTAACACAGGTTCACCAACCTACTATCCTTATCACTGAAAACCGAAGACTGTGAAAACACACTCGTTTGCCCCATGATATCAGACTAATCAATGAATAGATGTCAGAAGAACAAGTTGTTAACAGGAATATCTATTGCAAGAATTTCAACATATTAAGAGAATTATTATCTTAATAACTGTAGACCAATTGAATCTTTGAAAAATTAAGTGAACGATTTGTCGTTGAAGCTACAGTAACTTAATGGACAACGGTGATATCAATCTTGAAGAAGGGGAGCTTGATGTAGATCTCAGCGATGAGGAGGGATGCAAGTTGAAAAATGAAAAGTGAGCACCAATATCGTTGACCTAAAATTTCTTCAGTGATTTAGGAAAAGAAGAAAAGCTAGATAAAGAAGCTGAAGTAAAAAAGCACAAGAAGAAAGAAAAAAAGGCTAAGAAAGAAAAAAAGCATAAGAAGAAAAAGAAAAAACATACGCATGACAACAAGGAAAAATGGTACTCTTCGTTAATCTTACCTTTAGTTCTATTAATAATGGTGATGTTGTTCAACCGCCTGTGAATGAAGCAAAAGTAGAAGATCTTGGAAGTCCCAAAAAAGAAATTGAGGACGTCCCATATGTTCCAAAACGCGTTCCTATCTCTCTGGAGGAGCTGATTTTAAAAAGGAAAGCGGAAGAGGCAGAATTAATCAAACCGAAATTTATATCTAAGGAGGAGCGTATTCAGCAAGCCATCCAAAGAAGACAAGCTGAAGTTCAAGCTCAACGTGAAAAACAGATGGAGGCCTTCAGAAAACAGACGGAATATCTTGAAGGGGCTAAAGGTTACACGCTTGTCTATTGTTATGCTTTTAGATCTGGAACGAAAGAGACGCTCAGAAGATTTTCAAGAAAGAATGAGGCAGCACAGAAACTTTAGAAATACTGGCAAACGAGCAGCTCAAGAAGAAGGTCCAGGTGATAAGGTAAACATTTCACAGGAAGAACAAGCTATCAAAGAGCGCTACTTGGGTCAAAAGCGTCTGACTAAGCGTCGACCGAGGCGACTTAATGAGAGGAAATTTGTATTTGACTGGGATGTCGCCGATGATACTAGCCAGGATTACAACCCGCTTTACAAAGAAAAGCATCAAATCCAGTTTTTTGGCCGTGGACATATTGGTGGTATTGATATTAAGGTAATGAAGTGTTTACATTCCTCACAATTATCAGCAACAAAAAAAAGAAATTGGACGCTTTTACTCAAAGCTGTTAGAAAGCCGCCGTTCTGACACCCAGAAAGTTCAAGAAAAGTAACTGATCATTCGGTTTTTCTTATGGTTTAGGAAACGTCTAAGTGGTGTGGCAAAGCGTGAAGCTAAGCAGAAATGGGATGACAGGCACTGGACAGAAAAGGCCCTTGATCAGATGACTGAACGCGACTGGCGAATCTTTCGCGAAGATTTTAATATATCTACCAAGGGAGGTAACATTCCAAACCCCCTCAGGTCTTGGGCGGAAATGAATGTTGCTGATGAACTTAAGGATGTAATTAAAAAGGTATAGATGTTAGCCCAGTTTCATATTCCCTTTAGGTTGGCTATCCTGAACCAACACCAATTCAACGCCAAGCAATACCAATTGGTCTGCAAAACCGTGATATTATTGGTGTTGCAGAAACAGGTTCAGGGAAAACAGCAGCTTTCCTTATACCCCTGTTGAATTGGATTCAGCGACTTCCAAAACTGGAGAGACTTGAGGTAATTTAAGCTCCTTTTTAATCAGTTATTAAAAGGACACAGAGCAAGGACCATATGCTATTATTATGGCTCCTACTAGAGAGTTGGCACAGCAAATTGAGGAAGAAACAGTAAAATTCGGTCGACCACTGGGAATCAAAACTGTTTCGTTAATTGGTGGCCTCTCGCGTGAAGATCAAGCATTAAAGCTCCGAATGGGCGCAGAAATAGTTATTGGTACTCCTGGTCGTTTAAATGATGTCCTAGAAAACCGGTATATGGTACTCAACCAATGTACTTACATCGTTTTGGATGAAGTAAGTACTGATATTTTACAACAGTCAAAGTCGGACAGTTTTTGGCTTTTTTGTTATTGAATGATTGTCTAGTAGATGTAAAGCTAACTTACGCCTGTCACCCCTCATGGAGGAGCATAAGCCGCCTACCAGCACTCTCCATCCCACCTTGTTCTGGGCAATCCTTTCCAGTTGCTACTTATTCTTTTCATGTCTGCTTCTGATTTTTGACGTAGTGTGCTCATTGATCTTCCTCCTTTCCCTTTACCTTCAGAATTCCAAGTTAGCACTTGCTTCACGGTGCAGTTTGATGATTTCTCCAATGTTTACCCTATCCACTTCAAACGCCTTTTTCTAATTTCCTCCTCAGTTGGAAGCTGGTTTGTTCTCTCCCATAGTGGGCTGTTGCTGATGTTATCCGGCCGACGAACATTCAGTGTCTTACGTAAACAATTGTTTATAAATACTTCTACCCTTTTGATGATGGTTGTGGTAGTGATTTGGTCTGTGCACGATCGATCCTTACGGAATCCAGCTTGTTGATCTCGAAGTTGAACGTCTACCGAAATCTTTCATGTGGTTCAGCAACGCACTGTTAAAAACCTTTCCTGATACTCAGAGTTTCAATAGAGACCTATTCCTTATGACGGTGCTTGTTGTGGTCCAGAACCCCCTGACACGTTAAAGTCAATGCTTCTTTAATCCCTCTCCTGTTGTCTTCCATAGTAGTTTCGCATTCTTCGAGTAATTCTTCCAAGGCTCGAAAATTATTGCTGAGAGTTATCTTGAATTCGTCGAGCTTGTATCTCGAAGGAGGGCTGTATGAAGCCTTTTTAATGCTGCTTATCCAGTTGTCCGGTGCTTCTTTAGCTTCAGTTCCATCTTAGCCACAGCCAGGTGGTGATCTGAAGCTATGTCAACTTCTCTCCTAGTTCTCACGTCTTCCATTGTCTTTCTGAAGTGTTTTAGTCACCCCGATCTGGTTCTCTGTAGTGTGGTCGAGTGAGATCCATGTAGCTTTGTGCATGTGTCTGTGTGGGAATGTTGTACTACCTATAACCAATTTGTAAGTTTCTCACCATTCTTGTCCGTTTCTCCTAGTTAGTCCATGTCGTCTCATGATATCTTCATACCTGGTGTCGTCCATTCCGACTTTAACATTTAAGTCTCTCATCAGAATGCTCAGGTTCTTTGCTGTGTTTCTTCGCGATCGATTGCAGCCTTCTGTAGAACCGATCTTTATCATCGTCATTACTATAATTGGCGTGGGCATAATATTGAGTAATATTCGTCGTAATTCCCTCCTTTGATGATGCTTTGATGATCCTGGATTCATGAGATTCTCATTTTATGAGTGCTCTTCGTGCTTCTTTGGACAGCATCAGTGCAACTGCTTTGTGTACGAAACATGTTTTTCTTTGTGACCAGAGTACAACAGCATCTTTCGCTTACCTAACGTTTGCTGTCCAGCTTGGGTTTAATGGGTTTCACTGATTCCGAACACCGCTCATTTGTATCTCCTCATTCCTACAGCTATTTGATTGGTCCTTTCTGTCTCCCATATTACCCGGACATTCCATTTGCCTACGTTAGTCGTTGTTCTGATTGTAAGAAAAGGCGTCGGCCTCGTGGCCTCCGAAGGATCTGGGCTTTCAACAAGAGGTGTCAGAATTCTTCTTTCAACTTAGAGGGCCGAGCGTAAATGGTTTAAGTTGTTAGCGTTTTTGGCAAGATTGTTTTCTATGAGATAGAGTTGCTGACCCCATGCACAACCATTCTCCTTTACCAGGTCTAGTGACCGGTAGTCACCCTAGAGGACCTACAGTCCTAGTCGGCCCCCAAACGCCCTGGTGCGGCCGAGAGTGGGGAGAGTCCGCTCTCCCTCTCGAAATGCTCTCACATGGACACGCGTATATAGCCTCTACCAGGGAAGTCCTACTCATTGCCTTCTCGTGGCGGGGGTGTTGTTTACGAAAATGAGAGGACGAAAAGCCAATGTCTGGAGCTTTAACCAGATTCCAAACCAACAGTGCACATGGGCTCCAGTATCCTGCGGGAACAAATGGCGTATGAACCAATCGTTGGTCACCGGCTTCCATGGGACTGCATCTCCTTACGATGTTCCACTGCCTTGTGGATCAAACCTCCAGGTCGATGGCTCGGGGAGTGTCCCCCTAAGAAAACCGCCTGCTTCGGTTTGGGCACCCGGGCAGTATCACAGCCCTCACACATATCGAATAAGATGTGTGGCGCATATGTATTTGGTGCCTCATTGTACCAATATCTGTGTGTTAAACTAAAAATAACAGTCCTAGTTAGAAATAAAGTGGTATTTTGCGATGATAAATTGCATGTTTATGTAAATCGACATACCATGATATGTGCCTTCGCCATCTGATTGTAAATGTTTATGAATTTTATTTATTTCTGACGTTTTTAAATTAACAGGCTGATAAAATGATTGATATGGGTTTCGAACCTGAAGTCAACAATATTCTCACATATTTACCAGTTACAAATGAAAAACCTGATAATGAAGATGCTGAGGATGATTCGAAGCTATTAAGCAATTTTGCAACAAAACATAAGTATCGTCAGACTGTCATGTTCACAGCCACCATGCCTCCAGCAGTTGAACGTCTTGCTCGTTCCTATTTAAGGCGACCTGCAATGGTGTATATTGGAAGTGCTGGTAAACCCACAGAACGAGTGGAACAGATTGTTTATATGGTTTCAGAACAAGAGAAGAGGTAGTTTTTTCATACTGATAATAATCATATGTTTATAGCTAAATCGATTTCCTTTTGGTTATAAATTCAAATATTCCAAGACTAACAAATCTGACACCACTTTTACTTACATGCTCCAGATTATTTTTTACATTGGTTTTCGGTAGTGTCGCGAATCATTAGTACAATTGATAAATTGCAGCTGGCACTTATAAAACCGTATTTGTTGAAAATTTAATCTTAATATGTTGTGCTCGCTCTGATTTATAAGAAACGATTTTAGTCATGTCGATAATTCTTGTGGAGAACTGACTGCTAGGCCAAAGACGGATCCAATCTATTTTTATTGAATGTAATAAAACTAGTTACTTTATCAATAACAAGTATATTAATCTTCACGACTTCATTGTCTCTATATCTGTGATGAGTGCTGAAGACGGGAACTTTCATTTTAACATCTGTTATCCTGTTAACATAATTTGTTAATGAGCTCCATACCTGTATTTCGATTTACTGAAAGAAAATTGCAGTGTCCTAATCGACTAATATTACATACATACTTTCTGTCTCCATTAAAATACCAAATGTTGCTTCAGAATTGTTCTGCGTGAACTTATGGTAGGGAGTGGAGTTGTTGAGCGTATCGACCACTTCGTAAAGATTTTATCACCTCTTGTGGGTTTGTATCTGTAGAAACAATATTTAGACAAATTATACCAATATATGAAGTTGTGAAAAGTATCACATAATATGGACTTATGTTTTGATGTTTATGAACTGGGAGAAATAGCTTCTGAACAATTCTTATTAACGGATTCCCGATGTCTTTATGCGTTTCCTTAGATCTATTTTTCTCATTCAAAAGTGAGTTATTACAAATTGTTTTTAGAGACTAAGTATCTTAAACTACAAGTTCTTGTAGGCCTAAAAATTGGATTATTTAGTTTGTTGCTACATGTAGAGTTTTATCCACGGACGCCTTAACATCAAAATGACTTAAATTTCATTTTTGCAGGAGAAAACTATTGGAAATACTTGCTGCAGGACTTGATCCACCTGTAATCATTTTTGTCAATCAGAAAAAAGGCGCAGATGTACTTGCTAAAGGATTAGAAAAACTTGGATACAGTGCTGTTGTTCTACATGGTGGCAAAGGACAGGAACAAAGAGAATATGCCTTGGCAAGTTTAAAGTCTGGTCAAAAGGAGATCTTAGTTGCAACTGATGTTGCCGGTCGTGGTATTGATATCAAAGACGTGTCAATGGTTATAAACTATGACATGTCTAAAACTATTGATGGTAAGCTAATAATTCTTTCGCTATTTACTTAGATTATTTATTTGTTTAAACTTAGACATTCATACAAGGAAACATCAAATATACATGTGGCACACAAGTCATCTGGTTTGTGTGAGGGCTGGTTTTCTCAAGGGGCTATTCTTAGAGCCTTTGACCTAAAGGTCTAATGTACAAGATAGTGGGGCGACGTAAGGAAATGCAGTCTCATGGTAGTCGTTGAACAACAATAGGTTCATACGCTTTTTGTTTCCTCAGGGTCCTGGAGCGCACATGCACCATATGTTTGAAATCAGGGCTTTCGAACCCCCTATATGGGTCCCCCGTATCCACCATCCTTGTTAAAGCACCAGAAATCCGCTTTTCGGCCTCTAACTTTTGTAGAAATACCCCTTGGCTCGAGAAGGCAGTGATTAGGACTTCCCTGGCAGCGGCCGTATACGCGTGGTCATGTGAGAGCATTTTAAGAGGGAGAGCAGTCTCCCCACTCGCGGTCATACCAGGGCATTTGGGGGCATTTACTTTGATACATTCTGCACTCGATATAATAGTGGTATTTAAATTAATTAGTTGTCTTAACTCTCAATTGTAAAGTCATATAACTCTTCAAAGTCTGAGATGCATTTTATCGTTGACAGATCACTCTTCTGGTGTCAAGTCATTGTTAGAAACTCTTCTGCATACTGTATCAAAGGGTGTTATGGTACAAACATAAGCTAAACATTCTTTGCAGATATCACATCTTCAGTGATTTTGAATGGTGGGCTTTAATCTCAACACGACTGTCATTCAGGGATCCTTATAATCTGAGTGAAATAACTGTGATATTTATGATGACACCATAGCTTTGTCTTCTTAGAAAACCTTTGTGTTACATGTCTCAATGACCTGGTCAGTTTCGTCCCTCTTCTTTCTTGAATTATTGTTGAGAGTATGTATGACCTCAAATTTACCTTCTCTGTAACTAAATGTAGGGACTGTCCAATACACTTATATGTGGCTTTTGGACACATATTTCTTGCTCATTCATGTAAATATATCTAAGTCCCTAATTGAAATGTTTGTGCGATTATTTACATGAACTCAGCATAACTTTATTTAATGATTAGTAAGTTTTACATTGCGTGTTTCTCTGCTTAGAATATGTACATCGTATTGGGCGTACTGGACGCGCTGGTAAATCTGGTATTGCAATCTCACTACTTACGAAAGAAGATGCCCCTGTATTTTATGATTTAAAACAATTATTAATTCAATCTCCTGTGTCAACGTGTCCTCACGAACTTGCCAATCATCCGGATGCTCAAACAAAGCCAGGTATACTAGCTGCGAAAAAACGACGCGCAGAAGAGACAGTTTACATAACATAAAGAAATGGACTTGATTTTCATTGTCTGCAATTTTTATGCTGGTTTGTAAATACAGAGTATATTTCAACAAGTATTCATTCCATCCTATCGTTTTTGTACGTTAGTCCCACTTTTTCAGTGTTTGTACATAAAAGCATAAATTTTTGATAAAAAGCTGACACTTGCTGTTTTTTGTCAACTAGTGGTGGGTCCCGTCATATTTTCTCGCTGCAGAAAGGCATATTTAAAGTTAACGCTTAATATAGTTTTAAGCACGTGCTAATAATAGTCAAAATATCAACTCATCAGTTGTTTAACGTCAGTGGTATTACATACCCATAAAAGGGAAATAGATAGTCGAACGCTATACATTGAATCATTATCCACAACCTAACTGCAAACGATTGGCTAGTGATTCTGTTCGTGTCCAGCATTTCGGCGGTGTCTTTTTTGAATAAAGAATAACTGTTTGTCTTACAAAGTTGTCTTTCTGTTCACTTTTCAATCGTCAGCACAGTTCCTTAAAAAGAACAATATTTTTTGGAAGCTTGTAACTAGTTACATATAGACTGTTCTTAAACCCTGTGATAGCAAAACTAACCATTCTAATATACTTGAAGAATATAATAATTACAGTCTGAACGTGCAGGTCGTCGGCGTATTTGTATATCTACTGATTATTTCTTCTATCGTAACATTTCAGTCATAGGGTTGTCGTTTTCCGAGATGTCTCGTCAGATGTGTTTCGGAGCATTTAACACCTGTAGTAGGTGAAAAATTCTACATGAGCACTTATTAGAATCATGGTTGTTGAATTTAACTACAAAATCGCAAAGTATGAACACCTGATAATTGCTTTTCCCAAAAAATAAGACAAAATGTATCGACGCTTGTTTACAGTTCCGACTAATTAGCTAATCGCAATTTATTAAATCTTTGTAAAGGACAATAGCGACACATTAAGGGAAATGTTAAGATTTTAAGTACAACAATGAGTGTGAATATGGAACTAGTTAACACCCTCTGTTAAGCGCGTAATGCTTCACATTTAAAAATGAGGCAGTATTTGATAGAAAAATCGGGGAAATTATATCAACCTTGGTGTTTATAGATGTGAAGTGTTTGTGTCTGATATATGGAGAATTGTGTTAACGTCACTAACTGATTTCTGAATCATCATTTACATTCGAGTCAACTAATCTTAAGCCTGACCATTTTTTTAAAACAAACCAAAATTTTCACAACTATTAACGAAGAAATGTATATTGTCATTATTGTAAAGAGATAACACAGGTCTATTCTCTATTATATTTGCCAAAATCCATGGATAGATGTCAACAACTAAGACGAAAACTGTCCAATCAAATCGATTCACAAGACTGGATTTCTTATAATATTATTTATACTACTTAAAGTAGACAAATTATTTATGTGAATAAACTGCTATACTGTGAATTATATATACTTATCCACAACCACGTAACAATGATTTTAACATGGGGCTGGATATCTTGCTTGTTTGAGGTCAAGCTTATGAATGGCATGACTGGAAGTCTGCTAAGTAGAAAGTATACATTGAACTACTTGAAGCAGATGAACTAAATAGGAAGTGCCACTACACAAAATTAGGTTGATGATTTCTATTTACTCGTTTTAACTTTAATAATTATGTAGGATTTCATCAAACACATTGATGTGTAGGCGAGAATGAGAATGATTGGTTGTCTGCTTAGTCAGACATGCAGATGGTCTGACAGGTGTCAGATGAGTTATATATTCCCTTATCCTTATTATTATTACAACTCACACATTATTGTTGGGTTTTGGTGTGGAAATACATTAACGTTGTGATCACGCTGATCACGTGTTCTTGATCTGAGTTGTGTTGACGTCCTGTAGAATAGACACTGGGAGGGAATCTAGTGTAGATAGTCATTTAAGATAAATTAACGTCCCATACGTGAAAACCCAACCGTCATAACATTAGACGAAGTAAAACCGAGCGTTATAACACATAGTTTATTTTAGATTGCTGTATAATATCATTAAATGATTTATATATTACTCAAAAAGAGGAAAATATCGTAGACATATAGTGTATAATGTGTTATATCGTACCTAAAACAGAAAAATATCAGTCATTTTCTTTAATATTTGAAATATTCCCATATTATAAATTTAGAACAACATATATAAGCGAACAATATTGTTTTCGATTAGATCCTCATCAGGCTTTACTCTAATATACAGTAATATTTATATGCATATACGAAATTATTAAACCAATCAAGGTAGTTTATAGGTCAATGATAACAATGAAAACGATTACATAATAAGTAAAATGTGAAAAGTACAAATTGCTAGTGTGATGACAGGTGTACTAGGTTTGATAAGAATAATAAAGGTTCAAATCAATGTTACATAATCTGAAATAGATCAATGAATATAGAAACTGAGATAACAATTATAAAATTATAAGATGACGTAATAAGAAATGTTCAGATAATTGGACCATGAAACGTATTGTTGAGAGAAAATAAAGTGGTAGGAGGGTGTGAAGAAAAATAATAAACGAAGAGTAAGTTAGAAAAGGAATAAATAAATAAATTCATTTATTAATTAAGGCCAAGGGAGAGATAAGGGAGTTATAAATTTCTTCTGAACACAAAGACTTGGCTTGTTGGCTCGGATTCCTATAGCTTCTGCTATGTGTAAGAGACGAGATCGAACACCATAAGGAAAGCTTGTGGGAATACGATAAATAACTTTGAACGACTTGTTTCTGTCCACTATATGACCGCTATCGATCAAGTGTGATAGAACCGAGCTGCGTATTGTTTTGACGTAACCTTTTCCTAACCACGATGGGAGGTGTTCACTAACTCGTTGGTTCAGTTGCCTGGTAGTGCGCCCAATATAGCTTTCTCCACAGGAGCAGCTGAATTCGTAGATACACATAGAAGTGGCATAACCAGGTAACTTATCCTTCAATTGTGGAATCACCATCGATCGGGTCGAATACGATAGGCAGAGGTTAGCAGCATTAAACGTTCTCTTTACTGCTCTAGTCAATCTATCCCGTAATACATCGCTAGCCAAATCACCATTGAATTGCAGTTTCAAGAAAAGCGGTTTCTTATTAGCCGTCAAAGTCACTATTTTATTGTTTTGTACGCGCAAGTGTTTCTTCAGGAAACCCAGTGGATATCCTAATTCAATCAAAATATTATGAATGTGTTGTAATTCTCTATCAACAGTGTCGACTGAGCATATATTAAGAGCTCTATTTGCAAGACATTTGACTAAGTTTCTCTTATAATGAAGAGGCACATAGCTTAAAAAAATGTGTGTATTGGCTTGGAGTAGAACTTTCCTGCAGTTGTTGGCACACGAAATCGATAGTCTCTGTTAACGGTTCATTGGTGAACAGGGAAGCAACATCTAAAGATATCATTCGTTTCCCATTTAAATTTATATGTTCCACTTTAGAGATGAAATCGAAGACGTCTTTCTGGTCGTTTTGTACTTTTCACATTTTACTTATTATGTAATCGTTTTCATTGTTATCATTGACCTATAAACTACCTTGATTGGTTTAATAATTTCGTATATGCATATAAATATTACTGTATATTAGAGTAAAGCCTGATGAGGATCTAATCGAAAACAATATTGTTCGCTTATTTATGTTGTTCTAAATTTTCTTTAATGTCACGTTAATAAAAATGAGGTCAAGAGGCTTTTTAAATATTATAGATTCAAATAATCGCATATTTTCCTATTTCTCATAGTACCGGTTATCGCTTTATAAATTATGAGTAGGTCTGAATCATTTCAATTGGCAGAATATTGGAGATATGATGCTTTACAACTAGTGTAGGTCACTTCCTCAGTGAATAAATAACTTCAAACTAATACAAATTTAGTTAGCTTAAAAAACAATTATTTAGTACATAGACTTAGTTGTTGTGGTGTGGGCTACTGATGTCAACAGATATAAGTAATATTTATCACCAGTCGAAAGTGTAATGTCTGGCGGCAGAAGGTTGAGAAAATAGAAGAGAAGACAACAAGAGTGATCAGTATGGAAACGAAGGAACAACAAGGTTTGAGATAATTGATGGATATTTTGCAAATGAAGAATTACTGTATGTTTCTCAGATTTTTCTAACCGATTCTGTAATACTGTTCTCCAATACATTTGGTTGTAATCGCCTGAGTTCTCGTTAACTACACGTGACTATAATAAAACCTATTAATTTACTTTAGGGGTGATTCCATAAAAGGTAAGTCTCTTGTGTTCACATGCGTCATATATTTCTTCTTACATAACTAGTTTACCAAACTGCTTTTCTAATTGTTTTGCAAGCGTTTTGTGAACTGTTTCAACTTATTTGTCCAATCATAATTTTGAAAATTAAAATCACCCAGTTTCTCTACCTTAAAAATATCTGGTTTCATTATTAACTCATTTTGAAAAACTGCTAACTGGCTTGCCGACATTTGATTGATATGAGATATATAAAAATTTATTATTACCTACTTACGCCTGTTACCCCTCATGGAGGAGCATAAGCCGCCTACCAGCACTCCCCATCCCACCTTGTTCTGGGCAATCCTTTCCAGTTGCTACTTATTCTTTTCATGTCTGCTTCTGATTTTTGACGTAGTGTGCTCATTGATCTTCCTCCTTTCCCTTTACCTTCAGAATTCCAAGTTAGCACTTGCTTCACGGTGCAGTTTGATGATTTCTCCAATGTTTACCCTATCCACTTCAAACGCCTTTTTCTAATTTCCTCCTCAGTTGGAAGCTGGTTTGTTCTCTCCCATAGTGGGCTGTTGCTGATGTTATCCGGCCGACGAACATTCAGTGTCTTACGTAAACAATTGTTTATAAATACTTCTACCCTTTTGATGATGGTTGTGGTAGTGATTTGGTCTGTGCACGATCGATCCTTACGGAATCCAGCTTGTTGATCTCGAAGTTGAACGTCTACCGAAATCTTTCATGTGGTTCAGCAACGCACTGTTAAAAACCTTTCCTGATACTCAGAGTTTCAATAGAGACCTATTCCTTATGACGGTGCTTGTTGTGGTCCAGAACCCCCTGACACGTTAAAGTCAATGCTTCTTTAATCCCTCTCCTGTTGTCTTCCATAGTAGTTTCGCATTCTTCG